CCCGGAATTCGTCGGCGTTCCTTCGTCCGAGAGGGGTGCATAAATCCCGCCAGTTGCCGAATATTCCTCTTTATATCACGTTATTTCCTTAGCCGGAGCGAATTGTGTGTGTGTAACTAGCCACCGTTCCACTCACCAACGCCCGACCACAAGCTTCCTATTTATACTGCGAAATTCTTGGAATGAGAAGGCAGATAGCATCGAACTACGAAAGAGGAGTACCTATAATTTTCTCCTGATTCGTTTCTACTTCCAGATTGCCATCGACTGCACGCATAACCGTGTTCGATCAAACTTGTCTCGAACTTTATCCTTCCCTCCTCGCTGTGTCTGCTTTCCTCCCTCTTCCACGTTTCGAAGCGTTTGCAGAGAATAAGAAAGAAGGCAACACTGACATCTGAACCGTATAATATTCATTGGAAGAAGAGGGACATGCGTACAGTGACTCACGAAAGTATATTTTAAAGAGTTAATACGAATGATAATTTTGGGTATATATCATGTATGTTACTATAAATTTCGTTGGCACTGTTCTGAGTCACGTATGTCACGGTTATGCTTGGTCAAATTTGAAACCAGTCTCTGAAAGTGTTAACATAATGAATAATTTATTACTTGAATACTTTTACCGATTGTTCGAATACATTTCTAAGCAATTGAAAAATGGAAATGTGTATTTCTGTGAATGTTAGTAGATTGTCTTGAAAATTCTCTTGTAGGAAAAATTGACGAGAATTAGACAATTTACAATTTCGAGAATCTTTTCTTAAACAACTATTCTTTTCCGGCAATATAAAACTATAGAATTAAAACTAGCTTTTCATTTGACATCATAGCTTTCATTAGGCATTCGATTCATTGGTTTAGTCAAATTGTTAGAAAATGAGACTGTCTCTTTGTTGCAGGAATCTCTTTATTTATCCAAAGTACTGTCTACTCTTCTCTTCGCTGCTCGTTCTTTTCTCGTTATTCCCCGTTTCGTAGAGACGCCCGAATGAGATTCATCGCATTTATCATCCACCACATTCGGCCAAACCGCATTCCCTTGTACGGGTGTCTATGAAAAAAGAAAGGGGACCACCGTTGGGATTCGAGAAGCCAACGCACATGATCGATGGGAGTGCATAAATAAAAGCAGCGACATCGCTGACATCGTCTACAGTTCTAGGAAAATAATATTTGCCTCGGTTGCGATCAACGATCGTCGAGACGACGGCCAGACGAGGCAATGATAGATCAATCTAATTCGCACGGTCCACGAGACACGCGTCACGAACAAGCTTAAGACTCAATCGCGAATTCTCTCGATTTCTCCGCCTCTCAATCCTGCCTCGTTAGTTCGTTTAGGATAACACACGCTGACGTGTGAGTCATGTTTATATATGTATGTATATACGTCGATCGATCTCGATCAACGCTGCATATCGTCGTGTTTTATATCGGTGCAACCTCGTCGTTGCTCCATGTACAATATTTCTTGGACTTCTTTAATTATCGTACGACGATGATGTAAATTCCCATCATCTCGACGTTTGATAAGTCAGAAATTGCTCTTCCACCGTAGATAAAGCAGACTATTTTTACGCACCTTTTCTCTTCGCGACCCAGTATACACCACACCACTGTATAGTATGTAAATAAATTTTAATCATTGAATAAGAATAAAATAGACGTGACGTTAAATGGGGATTTTGCGTTTCGAATTCTGAAATATCGACCTGGGGAAAAGAAATTACAATGTTTTCTACGACGAATACTCGGGATCATATTCGTTTGAATCGTCGATAAAATCAAAAGCTATGGGGGAAATTTTCATTTCTTCGTGTATCGTGTTTAGTTTAAAAGGTTCGCGATTATCACGACGATCGATAGGATAGAGACACAAACCGATTGTTCGTCGTTAAAACAGCTTAACCACCCTTAGTATTTTTTTTTTTATTTTAATGGTACAAATGGTACAAATTCTATTTTCACAAAGAACAATCGTCCAAGAAAAGAAACATTATTGAATCGACATTTCTTTCTTTTCATCTACAAGTGGAGTAAATTCTATCTGTGCGGTGGTTGATAACGCGAACTTCCATCTTATTTTTATCGACTTCTATTGGTTCGTACGTAGGATAACGAAGATCTAATGAAATAAAAACGTAAAGAATTAAAGAGGAAAAAGAAATTGCTCAGAAGATATCAGGGGACTGTGAAATTGAAACACAAGATCTGCAATCACTCTTTTCTATCTAATTTCTCAAATTTTCTTACCAATTTTCCTTTTGTTCAAGATTGTCGGCGTTGGTACCAGCCCCAAACGAAGAGTGTCGAACAGCAAGGTTACGAGACCTATATAGATTATAAAACAACGAAAGAAATCGGAGAATTTGGAAAAAAAAAAATGGCAATTTAGAACAAAAGAAACGAGAAATGAGAAACGATGTATCGTATCGCAAGTTAATCCGAATTCGTCAAGTGAAATAAAAGGAACAAGGAAGAGAGGGGAAATGCGGATGAAATGAGCGATTCGCGACACAGGATATCAGGGGCAAAGGAATTTACAAATTCTCGAATATTCTTCTAAATACTTGCGAAACGGAAGGGATTGAAAGTAACGATGGGGAAGAGCAGGAGATGAATTTCGAAGAAGATGACGGAGGAAGAAGAAGGGAGAAGGGAAGGATCGCACAGGAAGATCGTAGAGAACGAGGAGAAGAGAGGAGAATAGAAAAGCCTTGGGTCATAATACGAGTCCGGCGCCTCTCGCAGCATCACCACGTGGCATGAGGCCAACTACCGTCTTCTGATCAATATGCTTACAGCTAGCTTCCTTCTCTTTCTATCCCTCTTCCTATCTTTTCTGCTGCTTTTCTACACCGACTGTCGAGAATCGCAAAAGTTACAGGCGCCGTCGACACGACACGGCTATTAGACACCGTGTTTTTCATACGTCGAACAAATTCGGCCGTTCAAACGACTGCTAAATTCCCCCTAGGCTTCTAGGCTCCTCGCTCAAAGGAAAAGAAAAGTCGTCGAGAGATCGAACGATCTGAAATCCAACCGAGTCGAATTTGAAGGCCCGTTCGGGCGACATTGATGTTTTACACGACGAAATAACATGATGTGAAGTCGCGAGGGTGGAACGCGATGGAGAAGCATCGCGGTACCACGCGTGAACCACGTGGTACCTGCTCTAAGCCCGCTCTCTCTTTCTCTCTCTCTCTCTCCTCTTCCTTCCTATCGCAATTCCTATCCTTTCTATCGCGTACATTTCTCACTGTTATTTTCTTACTTATTTCCACGAAACTCGAGAGCAACTGTTTTTGTGAGAATTGTAAACTCGAACGTTAATAAGAAACAGCGTTATCTTTTTCTGCCTCCCGTTTCTCCGTATTCTATCTTTCTCTTAGCTCTCCTCTAATTGTAAGCTCAAGAACAGTACGCACTCTCTCTCTCTCTCTCTCTCTCTCTCTCTCTCTCTCTCTCTCTCTCTCCTCGAAGACATTAGCTGAAAATGTTCCGATTTTGGAAAATATCGTTGCACGCAGATACGATCAGGGCGAGGGAGGTGGAAGGGAAAAATGGATAAATGGCCAGACCTCGAGTGAATATACAGTAAATGGTAGAAAGAAGAAAAGCCGCGGAATGGCTTCAAACATAGCGTATAGCTACAGGGATCAGCTACGTAAAGTTATCGGGGAGTTTAGCCGGTTGTTGCAGTATCTATATCGTGGGTGGGTGGGTGGATAGTGTTTCGCTGGTCAGCGGTGGTGTTGGTGGCGGTCGCGACGCGACGGTGGTAGTGATATGATGGTGGTGGTGGTGGTGGTGGTGGTGGTGGTGCTACTGCTGCTGCTGCTGGTGCTGCTGCTGGTGCTGCTGCTGCTGCTGGTGGTGCTTGGTGCTGGTGCTGGTGCTGGTGCTGCTGGTGCTGCTGCTGGTAGCGGTGATGGTAAGGCGGTGGTGGTATCGGTATTGGTAGTGGTGGTGGATGCCCCTCAGTGTCCGGCGCGCCTCCGACAAGCGTGCTTCGGTCGTTATAGGGATCCTTTGGCGTTTCGTCGTTATTGTGTATGATATACCGGCGAGCGAAGCAAAAGAAAGGCAAGAAAGAAAGAAAGGGGACGAGAATTAAATGAACACGAGGGAAATAAGGGCCGACCGCGACAGTTTGTCAATCAATTGAAAACAGTTTTCGTTGATTCTCATTTAACAAAATAACCACTTTCGTTTCGAATTTCGGATCTGACATCGTGGATCGAAGAGAATGTACGCAAGAAGTTTGACAGTTGCGGAAGGACACGTCGGGAACACGCTCTGGTCAGGATCGCAGTCGATTTTTCACGGACAATAGAAAAGACATTGGGGAAGTGAAAGAGACAGAGAGAGAGAGAGAGAGAGAGAGAGAGAGAGAGAGAGAGAGAGAGAAAGGGCAGTGGATAGATCTCAAAGGGCACGGATCTGGAGAACCGTTGGTCGGTGGTGGTGATCGAAGGACTTCCTACTTATAAAATCGGCTCAGATGCCTGTCGTTGTATGTGCTGTCGCTTCAAGCCTTTAAATGGTGCATCATTCCAAGGACCTTAGTCGTAGTGAAACATTAGGTACGCATAGAAAGTGTCCGAGGAAATCTAGAAGACCTTAGTGGGCGATTTTGGAAATTAATCGCCCGTGGAAAGAAATAATACGATCATATTATCATATCGAGGAATTCAGGTTCCGAAGCTTGGTTCCCTATGTAAAAATCAGTCGAGTAGCCGAATAGTTGAAAGTCGTTTGAGAATCTGAAGAGAGAGGGGGAAAAGTGCAATTAAGATAGGGGTGTTTTAACACGGTGGTGATCAGAGTAGCGAGAAAAAAAAATAAAGTAAATAAACGAGTGTGTAAGAGTAAAAGCAAGAGGAAAGCGGCTGCTCCAGAGGAAGTGTAGAGAAAGAAAGAAAAAGAGAGAGAGAGAGAGAGTCACGAGGTGTAAGAAGAGGAAGAAGAAGACAAAAGGGAAGAAAGGAAAAGAGAGAAGAGGAAACGACAGGGAAACGCAAAGAAGAGAAGAGACAAAAGGCAAGAGATTATTTAATTAGAGGCGCGCGTACCCGTGGACGTGCAGATCAGTGAAAACGAAAGCGCGAATGGCCGAAAACGCGAACAGGGTGTACCCGGTTACGGTCCATCTTGCGGGTGAGATCGATCCTGAAACAGCGGCACCGGGTAGTTGGTAATGGGGGGTTTAGGCGAGAATGCCTTTTCCCTGTCGCCGTCGTCGCCGTCGTCGTCGTCATCGCCATCGCCTTCGTTCCACACGAATTCTACCTTCTCAACAGGTTCCTGTCGTGGTCGTCACACCCTCTTATCTCTGTATCATTGCTCGGGAACGAGGACTACTCCTCCTTCAACGCTGGACACTGAGCATCCCGTTTATTTGGATCGTAATAGTAATAGTAATATCACGGTCGGTTCGACGGTCGGCTACGTTTCTCATCCGAATCGTAACATCGATAGGATCAGAAGCGAGCGTGACCGGATCGGTGGTGGTGGTGATCGCCGATCGAGAAAGGTCGACGATATTCAGCTCGAAGCGGAAGCGGATCGGGAAGGAGAGAGAAAGAGGAGCCGAGGAAGGAGGAGGTGGTGGTGGGGGTGGAGGAGGTGACTCGCCGCCGAAATGCACCAGGTGTCGTATAGAGCAGGACTCAATTCGAACGCAGGTCGAAACGAGAGATTCTGGGAGAAGATCGAGTGTCAGGATCGGCGTTGCCGTGCTCACCACGGCCGGCGTGCTACCGGTGAAGCCGCTCCTGCCGCGACGCCGTACGATCCATCGATCGATTCGAGCCGATCATGCCGAGATCAACGATCCCACTTGCCCCCCTCTCGCCTTCTATTTAGATACAGAGGACCCTTGGTACCTTCCAACGTCTTTCTCATTGGGTTGGCGCTCTGTTGTCTAACGTTCTCGCCCGTGCAACCGCGACAGAATCATCATCAAACCTGTCCAGGTTGTCCGCATCAGCACCAACAACAGCAGCACCAGCAACATCAACAGCAGCATAGAGAACATCAACAGGAGCAAGATCAACAACAACATGTACACGAGACGCACTACAGGGGCGGTGGTTCCGAAAGGAAGGACACCAGCGCGCCTACTCCGGATGACTTAAGACTGGAGGCTATCAAACACCAAATACTAACTAAACTTGGCCTTAGGGCACGGCCGGACGTAAACCGAACATTGGCCACCGTACCGAGGCATCTCGCTCTGGAAACTCTCTACAGAGCCGAGGCTCAATCCTCTCGTTATCCATCGTCCGATAGATCGAGGAACGATCGTGAGAACGTGTACTCCGCAGAGTTCTTTTACGGTGCCGACGAATACTCCTACAAGAATCTCGATCAACGTGTCGACAGCTCTGCGAAAGACAACGCGCGGATCGCTTCTTCCTACCGAGGCTCCTATGAGGACCACGAAGGTCAAGAACCTGAGGAGGAGATGGATGATTTCTACGCGAGGACATCCGAGATCATCACGTTTGCCGAACCTGGTGAGAGTCTACGCGATGGTCTCGCGATTTTCATATTTCGTTCTTCGACTTGCTATTTTCTGTGACATTCATTCGTCGTTCGTCGCTCGTGACTCGTCCGCTCGTCGACTCGTGACACAAGCCCTTGAGGCGCGCACGCGCACCCTTTCCAAGCTTACCACGGGCCGACGGTTTTACAAACGATAGTTGTCTTTTCTAATTTTCTCAACTCGCTACGTTCCAGTTGCGATTTGCGATATTACGCCGCGTTATTAGTATTGATCACGCTCTTTCAACGACGCGTATCAATAAGAACCAGAACGTATCGCTGTCTAATTCACGCGTCCCGAATCTGTATCAGGCACTTTTGTTATTTCTATTAGGGAGCGATATCGATTCGACGATCATCGACGAAACTACCCTTCAAAATCATCTTCTTTAATAAATTCTTTATTTCAAAGTTTGCTTAAAACGAGATTATTCGCAAGTTTATAACAAATCTACGCTTTCAGGCGCAATCATATCTTTGAAACTTTAATCTTGTGACATATTTACGAAAGGTATTTGAACGCGCATTTGATATTTCACTAGCACCGGCTGTCGCCACACAACCATACGAATATCAGTATCATACTTACATCGTCAATTGTAAAGATTTCAACCAGCATAATCGTGGCAACCCCAAGCGAAATTTTAGAAGGCGTTCCCTGTAACACGCGTCGGCATATACGTTGAGGTTTTCTACGCGATAAGCGTTCAAATATTTTTCGTAAGCCGCTGTACTGCCGTACGGTCGACGATTCAGTTTCCGTTTCGATCGATTCGCGCGTACGTCGTGCGTAGCTCGTGGCGTTTCGCGACTTTTCGAGAACGGCCACGTTGCAAATGGGATACGTGGTTCGTTCAGTCCGCTTGGTCGATTGGCCTGTTGCCTGAATCGCGAGCGGATGAATTGCGAAAGAACAACAGGATTCCAACAGAGAAGTATAAAGAAAAGAAAGAGAGAAAGAGAGAGAGAGAGAGAGAGAGAGAGAGAGAGAGAGAGAGAGAGAGAGAGAGAGAGAGAGAGAGAGAGANGAGAGAAATAGGCAGAGAGAGAGAGAGAGAGAGAGAGAGAGAGAGAGAGAGAGAGAGAGAGAGTGGGGTTGGTTTAGGTGAAGAGGGAAAGAGGCATACGCAGAAAACGTCACGAACGACACCTTGGTTCGCATGCATGCGTGGCCACACGGCTGGAGCCACGTGGCTCGTAGATATGGGTGTCGCGCCACGACTGTCTATAGTTCGTTCTGTAGTTCAGTAACTCTAAGTTTAACAATAAGGGTAATAGAGCTAGCCGGAGCTAGAAGAAACAATGTTGGCCAGCATTTACGGTCGTGCCCCGCCATTCCTATCCAACATATTCGTCGTGGTTAAATTAACGAGTTATTTTCCATAACGGGCTTCGCCGATTGTTTCCCCGCTCCTCCCTCCCCTCCCTCATCCCGTTTCTCCCTTTTATTTTCATCCTTTAGCGCGTGCAGTGAATCGCAAATGTATCTGACACACTTGCCTGAAAACATTTTGATATTTCTATATATGGCATTACAATGATCATTGTGGTAAAATTAACGATCGATCTGAAAAATCTATGTTGACGTTGCGATCATTTACTGGAAATCTGCGTTTAGTAAAAAAAAGTAGCACGCAATACGTGAATTAGTTGTTTTAAAAATGAGTATCAAGTATTGGGGATTGTCGATAGTAAGTGACGATTGGTTATTTAAATACTCTTTCACGATCCACATTGTTAGCCGAGGCTATAAAATTATAGAGTAAAATATGTTCGTGAAATGTTTCTGTAAGTGAATATTTTCGTAGGCTACTGGAACTTTAATTTTCCGCTAGAGGATAGAAATACGATAGAAACGGAACGATAGTTTTATAATAGAAATAAAAGGAGAGAATCGCTCAATAATCAGAGCTTAATATTTTTGTAGCCATGTGCACTTTTCATAAGAAGATTTCGTGAAAAAGATATTTGGACAAGTAGATATTCGATAGAGAGAGAGTGATCGATCGGATCTTCTTAAGCTACACTACGCGATCGACTAATACAAGTAGTACTAATCGACATTCACGCTTTGGTCCCTTGATGATCTCCTCTCACGTGCAATGATGTTAGAACGCATCGTTAGGCTGCGGATGTTTATGCATTTTTAGAAAATTTAACGATAGAATTACCTGTTGAATTATACTCACGTTATATCAGAAACGTAATTAGATGTACCTTTATTTGTTTCGGTCACACTGGTTTAAATCTAATTAACTAATTGCAAGTACACGTTTGGACTCGGTAATTTTCAATATTACTATTCCATTATATTATATTGTATTCGAGAAAACATAAAATTGCACAAACACTCGCAAACTATTAATCTTACCCTCGCGTTTTTATTTCTTGACCATTTTCCTTCGGTCATTTCCGGCGCGATTCTGCATTTTTCTACCGTTTAAAAATATCGCTGGTTTAAAGTAGATACAAAGACGCAAAGATCTCGAGTACACCTTTCTGAAGCATTTTACAAATTAACAAATCCCTCTTATTTGTCGAGTTACACACCGAGACAGAAAAATTCGAGGATCGTGGCAGGATTGATTCTTCGCGGTGTGATCCGATAAGCGTAAAACGAAAGGGACTCCACGGTATTTCAAGACGGCAGCGGCCGTTCGAATTGGTTATTACAACAGGGGTGTTGGTGAATATTTCGCACGCGCGCAAATTCGTGGTCGTCGCCCCGGAGGCGCATATCGGTTGCTCGATAAGCGCGTTACAATACGACATGCAATACAACATAAAATACAATATTAATATTAATGCCGGCGTCACTATACATAGCCGGTGAACACGTCATTCTTTTTGAAGAAACTAAAGAAACTATAAAGCACCATCGCCTCTTTGATATCGATCTCTTGAGCAGCCAGGGTGGGGGGAGGGGCACGGAGAAACTTTTCTGCCACAATTTTTCCTTTTTGGCATGCGTAACACACAAAAATTCCCCGATGGTCTGAAACATGGTATCACGAGATCCACAGGCACTCACGTTTACTCACGATGTCTGTATCCTAATATCGTTTAAATAAATTTCGTTCAGAAATTAAGCTCGTTGAGAGCCAACGAATATTTCGCGTCAATGGAACTTTACTTCGTTTGTAAGCTCTTTTCAATACATTTCATTAAATTCTATTTTCTAAGAAAATTATGACTGGGGAGGAGAAGAAATTCGAAAGATTCTCTGAACTTTTCCCCAGTTTTTTCTTTTTTCGTTATCATTTCTTTCGCTCATTTTTCTTTCTCTCGCAGTTTTGTGAGATATAAAAAATCGAAGTATTTATAACTACTGTAACCTTGTTTGGCCTTTAATGAGTTGATCAAGTGATTTAAGTACAAACAACTTTGATAATGTAAACCTATTATTAGGGAAAAAATAAGATTTGTTGGAGAATGAGCGTTAGGATAGGTGTGGACGATAGTAATATTTTTTCCCTGAACGTGTCGTCGAGCAATAGGCTCGAGATCCTCAAGATCGAAGGATAGAAAATGGACTTTCTTTCTAGAATATGACAAGCTTCTCCATCAGGAGAAATTCAATCGACGTTGATAAAGCTCGGAACGTGAAACGCGGATTACCGTAAAAATTGTTTAAAATAAATCATAATTTCGCAGAAGTTCGAGAGAGAACAAAGAAACAATTTATCGAGAGAATAGATACGAAGAAAAATCTGAATATCCGTTGAGAATTTCGTGATTTACGAGTAAGAGGAAGCACTCTGCGCTAAGCAATCGGTTTCCGTTCAAACAGTCGAGAACGGAACTAAATTCTAAATTTTCATTCATTAAACAGAATGAAGATAGATCGAGGAAACGCGCGTAAAGCTTCGAGAATCGTTCTATCAAAAGAATGTCGTAGAAAAAAATCGTACAGATGTTTCACCTGTCGTAGATAAACTAGATAGAAATCAAAAATTACAATCAACACACTGAAAAAAAGAAACAAGATTGTTAAAGTGCTTCTCTTTAGCTCTGTTGCATGCTCATTTCCAATTATTCGAACGACAGTTTCAGTGTCAGGCCTACGGTCGTAATTTTCGCGGTTTATTCCCGAGTTTTCCTCGCGTTCAAGGGAGAAACCATTACTCTTGACAGGGAAAACTACAAGGTTCTAGACACAGACGGCTAGATTTCTTCTCTGCATGTTTGCCGATCCTACGCAACGCTTTGCCAACGATCATTCGCTCTGCTTAATTAGTTAGTCTGCATATTTATACTCGTGTTAGCGTAGGCAGCCGCTTAACCGAGAATTATTCGAGCGTCGTCGTCTCTTTTGAAAGTTTTCATTCCCCGGCGACACTTCTCTCTCTCTCTCTCTCTCTCTCTCTCTCTCTCTGTCTGTCTCACTTTCCATTGAATCCCCTTTCCCGCAGAGTCGCACGCTCGTCCTCGTGGAAGGTTTTCCGTGTCGGGCAACTTTCTGAATATTTGAACCTCTCTCGGCACAGAGGGAACAGAGTTCTAATTGATTTTCTGTCTCAACTGTCTTCCTTTACGTAAAGATGCGGGACATAGATTCTTTCAAACATCTTCATGGTCGATTACAAGGTCTATCTAACTATGAAAATAATTCCTATTTATGTAGGATCGTCTAGATTCGTTGGTACGATCGATTGGATTACTCAATTTTCATCGGGTGAAATGCTTTCCCTCAAGCATCGGGATCCGTCTTCCGTTTCTTCCTTATTTATTGATTATTCATTCGTACATCATTGACACGAGCGCCTCGAACGCTTTCTTTTTCCTCGTAATTTCTTATCTTTCGCTATTTCAAAGCAAAGTACATCAAAACAGGCAAATGTGTAGTTTGTCCCGCGATATCGATTAAATCAGTTTCTTCGACACGCTGGCGAACTTGACGAGACGTGGATTCCCCATGGATGTCGATGACGAACGAATTTTATTTATTTAAAGAAAAAAAATCAATTATCAA